TCCTGATCACCGCCCCAGAACAGCCATGAATGCATTGCTTGAAGGTCAGCTGCAATTGTGGCTTCTGTGGCTTTATCGATGTTGAGGCACAGCTGCTTTTCAAGGGCTGTGTGTTGTAGAAGTTGTATCGCCAAAAACAAATAGTTCCAACTCTCATATTGCTTGGCTTGTCTCAAATGATATTTGTTGCCGGGTCGTGCTACCAGCGCCGCCAAAGACAAACATGGCTGATCTGCAGTTGGCTTGTGGCACTTCTTTTTGCCAGACCATCAGGAACAGCATGAGAACGTTGAGGCAGTCGTTGACCCGGAGAGTAGTCCTGCAATTGCGCAATGTGTGTCCAGATGCATGTCCATGCAGTCAGAGTCAGCCGAACATTCTGCTAGCCTGCTCAGACTCGAGCATCCAACTTGCCTGAAACAGCTGGCTTGTCCTGCGCTGCAGCGCAATGTCTCTCATCTGGTTCGTTGCCGTTGGCACTTCCGAGTGGGAAGGCTTGCTGAGTGAGATGGCTTCTGGGGTTCTGAGCTGCCGTTTATACTCTTCACCTGTGATGCTTGCACCCACTCCCTATGAAGCCATGCTGGAAACTTGTCTTTCATCAGTCAAGTTCGCAGATCCCATAATCAGAATTTTGTGCAGTGAGCCCGGGCAAGTTCAAACCATTGCATCTGCTGGTGCTCAGGACTTGATCAGATCTCAAGGACGCCGCTTGAAGTTCAACCTTTCAGGTGGCACCAGAAAGCCCATAGGAGGCCAGCGCTTGCCGCAGGATATGTACATGCTCAAGATCACGATCAAAGATGCAGACGGGCTTCGCTTTTTCAAGTCCTGTATGTCGGGGACAAGGTTGAGGGCGGATCAGATTTACATCGGGTCTGCTCAGGAGCCAGAAACGGGCAACTGGTCTCCTGTTGGGCTGCTTGACAGCAAGCTTTGGGAAGCTCATGTAATGCGGGCCACAACGACTGCTGCGACGGTGCCTGTATGGCGCTCCAGCGAGACTCCTGGCCTGGATGTTCCAGTGTGGACCTGCTGTTATGTCCTGCATGCGCTTCAGGAGGAAGAATTTGATTGGCGGAGCACCAAATTCGTTGGCTTGGACTTGGACAGCTACATGTTGAACGATACCGCAGGGACAGGGAACAAGACGATCATGGATGGGTGTGAGGGTGGGTCTGTGCTTTTCAGGTCCGTGGCCGACGCGGTCCTCATGGCGACCATGTCTTGCTTGAAGAACCCTCCGGTGGACGTAGTAGGATTTGATGGCAAGTTTTACATCCTGCAGTTGAGCATCCCAGCGAGTGCATTCAAGAGCTGTGAGGACAGGGCTTGGTAGTTTTTTCGTGGAATGGAGGGTTTTTATCTGTTCATTTGCTGCATTGCTGCTGTCGCAGGACTACTCTGTGACATGGCCGCTGGAAGCGACGTCGCCTGTTCGCTACTGGCATGTTGCTCCCAAGCCGCAAGTTGCAGATGATGAAGAGGGTGTTCAGCTGGGATTCAAGCTCATCTTGAAGCAAGCCACTCATGCCTCCATCCTCCACGCGAAGCTGGATGTGGACCTTGGTGCCAGCTCCACTGTGGCCGAGGTGGAGAAGCGCTATCGTCAGATGGAGCCGCTGGGGCGCATGTATCAAGTGTGTGTATGTGTCAGGTAAGTTAGCTCCTGAAATATGTTCGTGAATATTCAGGCGCAACAGATCCATGGTGCGCCTGCGACGTCAGATTGCAAAAAATGATGAGGAGCGTCAGGCCTTGGAGCAGGAGCNNGAGCAATTGGGGGAGTCGGCTCCCTCCTCTGAGCCTACAGCCAAGCGTGCTCGTGTGGAGCCGTGAGAGCTGTGATTCTCCTGTGTTTTGGCAAGACCAAGCTGGTGATGTGGACTGCACCTCCAAAGTGCTAGCGTTAAATTTAAATAAAGTAGAGCAAAGCAATGTGACCCCAGCTCATTGACATGATCAGGGCAGTTTGACCAGTGCAGTCGAGTGTGAGTAATTTTCTGACATGCTGGCTGCTGGCCGCCTAGCAAGCTTTCAATGGCAATATCATGGTGGCTGTAGCTTCAATGGGGTTGAATGGCTTGTGGAATGGCGACCAGTACCCGGTATTCTCTCAAGACCTGCAGCTGCTGAGAGCAACATGGTTGACTGCGCTTTGTTGGTGCTGCATAGATTGCTGACACACTCCTGTACATCCGTGAGCATGCGGTAGTGACATGATGCTGAAGTGATGTGCAACTCTCGGAATGTGTGATTGTATGTAGACTTGCTTGACGTTGTGCTTTAATAATATAAGTGC